GACTCTTGGTCCAGCTGGAGATGTGATTGTTTCTTTTTTGAGTTTGGGGTCTTGGAAGGAATTTTGTTGCTTCACAACTTCAGCAGTTGAGGATCTTTGGGTTCAAGCTTGTGTTATACAGAGAGAAAGCAAAACATTTCTTTTCTCTGATCTTTTGCATCCAGCATTCAGTCTATAGGGCAGAGAAGTTAAGACGAACTGACAAAGCCCATGACAGACTAATTGGTGACGGAATTACCTGGCAGAAGATTGCTGCTTGGTTTGACAAGACTTCAAAATATGAAAAGCACTTGGTAGACACGGAAAGCTGCAGAATACCTACTTTTCGTGCCAGGTTTTTTTAAGGGCTATATTGATTCAGAATTCTGCTCATTTTACAGGTGTTGTCATTTTTTGATCTGCTGCATCTGTCCTGGGAAGGCCAAGGTGGTACAGCAATTTATTAACAGCTGAAATTAACTCTGTGACTCTCGAGTTTTGGAGGGGATGGAGACACCATATGATATTTGTTTTCAGACATAATCACTTCATCTTTCATTCTTTCCCTGAGCTGAACTGACAATCAGAAGCTTTGCTTTGGATTTATGATGTTGAATGAAAGCCCAGTGGATAATAAAATTAACACCATTCATGACTTAATTAATGATAAGCACCATGTGTCTTTTACTAAGCCAGCAGTAACTGGACACAGGACACAGCGGATGGGTTTCTGCAGCAAATGCAGAGCCTTTCCTTTTACTTCCCACACCTTTCTCATATCATCCTGCAGTGCAGATACAGTCTTCAGAATACAAAGAATTCATTTAACCCAATATTGAGATCAAATTAAGACTCTGGATACATTACCAGAAAGTTGTTTGATACCTGTGATGTGATTGACATAAACATCTCCTCTAGAGTGATGCAATAATCTGTATTTTGGGGGGTTTTGTACAAAAATGGGAGTAAAGATTTTAAATATATTTTTTAAACGTACGAGCAAGTTCAGTGACTTCATTAGAAAGTAAAGCAAAAAAAAAATATTCCATTCTAAATAATTGCTGAAGCAGTTTTCTTTTGTATTTAGCTACTTCATTCATATGTATTTTTTATTTCTGGAGAAAAGTGGAGTTTATGTTAGTAATTAAAAACATGCAAAATTATGTGAACATTTTGTATTTACATTGGTTTTGCTTCATTGTCTGCATATTATTCTGATTGCATAGAAACAGCCAGGAAAATTTTCAAAGTGCTTCACAGAGACTACACTATGCCGGTCCTATTAATTTGAATAAGTCACATGGTTATGTTCTCACATTCTAATTTGAAAATTTCCCTCCTGCTTTCCACCATCTAAAATAACTATCTAATTCTGGGTATGCACCATCTGCATCTCCCACTCTGCAGTTTATAAATACAGAAGGAACACACAGTCTTTCCATACAGATACTACAGGATACTCCATTAGCATTTTATACCCAGAAGAAAGTCTCCAGCCTAATGAGAGTTACTCTATTCCTTGTGCTGCTCCTAATCCTCATCTCTAAGGATATTTCCATTAATATTTTTCTGAAATGCCCTTTAGATGCATAGAGTATCAGTATCCTGGAAACGTCTAAAATAATTAGTACAATTACAAAAAAAAAAAATAGAAAAAAATAGGATCAAAAGAACCACTAAAACTAGAATAAGAGATAATATAAGAGATAATCAACCTGTAACCCATCAAGTAGTCTGAGAAATTGTGCTTTGACATTCCAGAAGCTAATGACAGCAAGTATAAATGAAAGATTTTTGCATTTGACTATATTTGAACTTTCCCCACAATGTGCCAGGAAGGTCAGCCAGGGTATTTTAGAGCAAGGCTGTGAGTAGAGAGAATTACAGGCTTAGAGTTACTTACAGGGCCTTGCCAGAGATTCCCTCTGTTTTATAGCTCACAGGCTTCAATTTTCACAGTTGCTGCTTCTAGCTGGCTTTTTTACATCTCCTGAAAACCAGACTGGGGGCAGGGAGGACATTTTTCCTGACACAGATAACTTCAAGAGATCCAGTGCCCATGGAGCAGAGGAATGAACATGGGCAGCAGCGGCAGCGCAGCCGGCTCAAAGCAGCACTTGGAACCAGCCTGTAATCCAGTGGTGGAACAGCTGCAATGGCTTGGGAGCTTCCGTGTTGGGAAACTCAAAGAGAAGATCATGGGGTGGCTTAAGAGAAGAGAATCAAGTGGCAGGGAAGAAGGAGAGGTTTGCTGATGAGATTGGTGTAGTTCTGGAGAGGGAAGGGTCTGGCTTTTGGGACACAAGTTGCTTAAAAGTGAATTCTTTGGCTTGGAAGTCCTGAGGGTGCAATGACTTGGGGCTGACACAGACCAACCAGGTACCTCTTACCAACATCCCAGTTTGGGGAGAGAGACACATAGGGGTGGTGTCATCAACAGCACCTTTAGAACCAAAAGGCAGCTTGCCCGCACTGGAGACCGCATGCCTCCAACCATACCATCATCAGTATACAACAGCCCTATCCTACAGTTTCACAGATGTCCACCCAAAGGTACATTTGTCTTTAGCCTCTCATCAGCCAAGGACATTTCCACACATTCTCCACAATCCATCTTTGTGTTTTCCTAAAGCTTAAAGGAGTGTGACATGTGTGAGGTTAGCTAGCTTTCCATCAGACTGGATTGAGATTTCCCAAGATATTAAAAAGTTATTGTTAGGAGACATGCAGCTAGACAGACATACAAAGAATGTGGTTGCAAAAGCTTTTTTGCTTTAGGAAACCAGGTTATAACAAGAAAATGCCTGATCTCCATTTACAGTTCTGTTCATCTATTTTAATGAAGTTTTTGATTTTGCTGACAGGGCAACTTCATTTTACATAGAAAGACAGTTCCCCAGAGGGTAAGATCTGTCATTTGTCACACAAAAGCCTTTCAGTCCCTACCCACAAAAGTAAAACTGCACCTCAAGAAATCAGGTTCATCCTATTGAGCTGCTGAAGGAAGGAAAACAACACTACAGACAAAAATTGTGCATTGCTTCCTTTCAGGGACCAGCTATGACTGCAATCAAAAAGTCACTTCTTATTTATATTATAGATTGTTTGAATTTTTTTTCAATCTCAGACCTGGTGCTGTTAACAGCTGGACTCTCCTCTCTCATATGTGGGTCAGATTAACTTTCTCCTCTTCACCACATAGCAGCAAGAGTGATGTCAATGAAGAGCATCTTTCTTCACCCGTTCTTTCAGTCTACTTTGATGGATACCAAAAAATAAAATCAAAGGCACTATAGCAATGCAGGGAAGGATGAGACCACCAGAAAAGAACTACAAGCTAACAACAATGGACACCATGCATGAGCTCATGAATAACCTGATTTTCCACCAAGTAGGACTTGACAAAGGCTTTGATACACAGCCTGTTGGAATGCCTGAGGCTGTCAGCTTGTTTCAAAGCAAAAGGGAAGACTGTTGGCAACTTCAGAGCCTAAAATGGTGGGAAAAAAGCTTTGCATCAGGGAGAGGTGAAGCAAGAGTCTTTTACTCTCAATGATCTGATGCTTAGATGATTTCCAGCTAGAGTTATCTGATTTGGGAAAATTATCAATGCTCTGTAGAAAAGGATTTTTTCTGGAAATAATCAAGTCTCAACTCAGGAATCTTTTCACCTAAACTATCAAAATATTTTAAAAGGTGTAAAAATAAAAAAGCTGAGAAGTCTTTGCATTTAGAATGTCCTAAAAAAATTACTGTATGGTGCAATTTTCTGAAAACCCATGTTTCCCTCTGGTTTTAACAAGTTTTTCCTTTTTAATATAATTTCCCTCATACAACATTATTTTTACTACTATCTTAACTCCTCTTCAGAAACCTGTTTCTAGTAAAAGAGTAATGAAAGGGGAAAGCACTAAACAAACAACAAAGGTGAAAATTTCACACCTCTAAGTAATATTAGTACTAAACTCAGCATATTTTTTAAAAATATTTTAAAATTATTTTAATTCAGAACCATATTAAATTGATTCAGTCCTTAATTTATAAAGACAAGTGGCCAAATATTATAACCAATTAGACTCGACCATGTAAATTGTTTTCACCATCAGTGTTAAAGCTCAAAAGTTGAACACAGCTGAAATCAGGAGATTTTAAAGATACTGATATCTACGCATTGTTCTATTAATTGTGGTCTTTATTAAATGCAAAAGATAAGGGATTTTGAAGAAAGTTAAGTCTTTAGCAAGATGTAAATAAAAAGCTTGTCTACAAGGTTTTCATACCAATGATTAATTCATCACTGAAATTCTACTTTTCCTCATAGATCATGTCTTTGCTGAAGTAAAACTGTTGAAACTTGTATTCAAAGTATTGAGAAGATGTATCAGAAAAGCCCTGCTCCACAACATAAACTTCTTTTAGGGTTTGTGTAATGCTTCAGCCTTTGAAGCTCTTAGAAAGCTCACTTTTTTTACCTAAAAAAAAAATGTATCATCAGATGTAAAAGGAAGAGAGGAGTATATGGAGAGTTGTAACCACAGTCAGTTTGCAAACACTGAAACTTTCATGCAATATAGGTGTAAAAATTGGATACACCTACCAGTACATCTGGCCTGACTGGATAGCTATAATTTAAGCAGGTGGCTGACAGATGTCATATCTCATGCATGCCTTTTCATGTTCATTTTTATTTTAATCTCATTTTCATGTCTCAAGTATGCATTTAAAATTATTTGCTAACATATTGTACTGTATAGTGTACATGATCCTTGAAGGAGATTTCAAAGAAGAGTTCAAAGCTGCCAATTGATTATACAGTGGGAAAAATGAAAATAACCACTGCCAATTTACCAGCCCCCAACACAGACAAAGATGGGCTGTTCCACAGCTAACTGCACCAACAAGGTTTCAGAATACAAAATACAGAAATCTTTGTCAAAGTTAAAATGACATTTTTGCTGCAACTTGCTGAAAAATATATTAAAATGCTGCTTGTAGGCTGAGGAGATGTAGATGTAACTCACCCTTTCACTATTCAAGGATTTGCAGACGGCAATCTCATTGTCCTGCAATGTTGCAAAGGTTTTCCTGAAGGCACTATTTTTAAGCTTCATTCAGAGGTTTGGTTCTGCAGAGGAAGTTTCAGAAACCAAAAATTACCAGTTATGGTACCATCACTTGCTTCATATAAGATCTTGGTACTTTAACAGAAGAAACAACTTCTGTGTAACTACATCCCAATCTTACACATGACTGTATCTATCCAAGTGGGAGATGAGTGGTTATTCTGGAAAATATGACCTAAATTCTCGGCTGGCAAAAGCAGCATACCAAAAAGCAAACTTAAGTTCTGAATATCATCTGGAAAGTTGTCCTAATGAATATAATCTCCCTCACAGGAATAAAGCCATTCTATCAAACCCACTAGGGTACACTGAGATTTAATTAACTATCCTGACTTTCAGGAAGAAAGTACCAAATAATAACAACAGGTGACATTGATAAAGTCTTAAGTACAAAATACGACTGTTTTGCCAAATACAAGCAATACTCTTTTGTTTTTATTAACAGATGCATCATGTCTCATTCCTTCAAGATGAGGACTGAAATGCTCTATAGTAATTTGTGTGAACTTTGAGGCACATTTACTTAAATCCTCTAAAATATGCAGTCTTTTTGGCCAGTGAATTTCAAAGTTAATGAAGCAAACATCCTCTTACATGCATAAGTGAGGAAAAAAAGGAAATAAATCTTTCTGTTTGACCCCCATTCAAATCTGAACATGAAATATGAGCACTTTTAAAGCAAGGCAGGCTTTTGCAATGTATTAAAAGCATATGCTAAAGCCTACTGCTACTAAAAAGCCTCTTGCTCCTCACTTTATCACTGCATATGCCACCTCACAGGTGTCTATGAGTATTTATACAGACACAATTTCTAAATGGGAAAAAAGAAGAATGAACTAAAAGCAATCCCATGATGACTTTGCGATTTATACAAGAAAGCTCTTTGAAATGCTGCCCCGAGCCACACAGAACTCTAGTTGAATAATTAATTACATATTGACAAGGTTTATAAAAGAAAAGCTCAGTGCCGTATTGACATTTATATCTTCTTCTTAAATTCATTAGAAAATGCCATTCTGCTTGAAAAAATTATTGGTAGCTTACAGTTTTTGCCTTCGTATGCAAATGCTTATCAAGAAGATATGACAATGTTTTATATGACTTAACAGGTTGCCTAAAATCGAATCTTTATGACTGTGTAATTTATATTACGAGAACATTCTATAAACAATTAAGAAACTATTGCATGTACTTAAGAACAAGTCACAGCATGCTGCAAACATTTCTTTAAACTATTCTAATTGTGCTTTACATCTGAATTTTCTGTGCAATTAGGAACCATTAACACACAAAATACAACCAAAATCATGATTTAAAATGACTGTACGTGAATTTTATTAGGTAGGGTGTAAAAATGAGATGTAACAAATAATTGCAAAATATGTAATACTGTCAATGTTCTTTATTTCAAAAGGAGAGAGGATAAATTTTCATATTTCTGTCTTCCTATTACATTTACAGTTAATTGAACTAATATGGCATGCACATTTCTGCTACAGTTCTTCTGTTACAGTACTTCAGTTGCACTTAATAAATTGCACCTTCCATGAAAAGAAAAGGTGATGGATTGAAAAATGTTTAGCACAACCATGCATAATTGATAGGTTCCCTAGTGCAAATAAGTGTCTAATAAATAATTAAATTTAATCTCATTATAAGAGTTTTCATAATGGGATAATTTAATTAAATGAAAGCCAAAGGGTTCTTAGGGGTTGAAAGATGCTGCTGATGCTATATTTGGCTAATGGTCTGGGGATAGTATAGTGAAGAAGGGTAATTCACATGGGTACATGCATTATTTAATGAATCCCTCTGAGATGGAGGAAAGGACAGATCAATGATAACTTGTCATTTTATCATTGCTTACAATGCACATTTAAACAACCTGGGAAATGTTAAAAACAGAGAGAGAATCTTGCAAGCCTTTGCAGTGCATCAGGCCTTCTCTGCCAGACACACAGCAACATTGCCTTTTGCAATATGCAGTTTCACTCTCATCTAGCATTGTTAATTTTTTTCCTTCTTTCAGACCAAAAATAAAAGCAAAGCCTTACAAGCTTCTGTACAGTTAGGGCAAGCCTGCCCCTAAGTGAAAGTTATAATGGATACAGCATGTATATCTGATACTAAAAAATTGATAGCTGTGTCACGTGGGACCCATTAACAAGCTTTTTGAGTGGGCTGAGTTTTGAGCTTTAAGTCTCCAGAAGCACTTAGCTAGGGTAGGATACTAAAACCATACAAGTCTAAGTAGTTAGCTCATTTGCAGGTGATCAGTTATGAATTAATATGAATACTGAAGGTTATATCTTTACAGATAGGACAGAAGTGTCACCTTGCACACAATAAATGTGAAAGACCCAAAAGCTAAATGGATGAGTTTGCAATCTGAACTTTCACTTTTCAATGACCATACACTCACAAGCATTCTCATTTAGAAACTTTAGTCTTTACTGGTAGATCCTGAATAAAATGACTGCTGTAGCTCAGCAGGCTTGCAGTTTGTTTGATGGTACCAGACATTTTTATCAGAAAGATAACAATCACTCTTTTAGAAACACAGAGGGATACAGCTGTCCATGATTTTGCCTTCTGAAGCATAAGGATTATGTAACATACCTAAAAAAATATTTTTATTACTGCATTTATTATCTGTTTTACCTTTGTTAGAATCCTTCTAAATTTTCTGAAACTTAAATGTGATTTTTCTTCTAACAGTAACACAGACCCATTACTTACACAAAGAAAACATTTTCTAGTATCAATGAAACAATTTTAATTTTTGTTTGGTGCTGTGCTATGAGTAGAAGTGGCAATGAGCTACACAAAATGATGTTCAAATGTCTCTAGGAGGTATGACTACAGCAGCTCACACTGTCCCACCAAATAGTCGGCCTCATATTTGCCAGTTATGAGGTCCCACAGAAGCTCTTCAGCCTTTCCTAATCTTCACCTAAATTATCTTGTCTTAAATTTGCCATCTCTCCAGTCATCTTATTTTTAGTTGATTAATAAGTACCTTAATCAAAGTACTTTAATTATAGATACTGAAGGTTTTGCAGGATGAATATCAATCTCCTATTTCTATTTGTTTTTTATGCTCCCAGACACTTTTCAATCCACATGGAAGTTTAGCAGTAACATATTTCTTGAATTATTTCTTGTGAGAATATGAACCTTTATTAAAAAATCCAAATATACTGTATCTGTCTGGTTTTTGTTCACCTTCTCAATGACTCACATGAAGAATGCAGAAACTTCATTTTGTCTCACACATGTTCTCTGAGGGATTTACACTTCCACACTCACTGGTTACCTCATATAAAAATATGTCTCAGTGCTTTCAGTATTGTTACTCATGTTTTTTACCACCCCCTTCTTAAGCAGAACAAATACAATGCCATTTGGCTTTCTTGCTGCTGCTCTGTTGTTTGGTTTAGCACCTCCTTCAGCACTGAAAACACAAACAGTTCCTCACTTTGTATAAAAAGTAGGTGTTTAATTTTACACTAACACAAATGAATCATTCATGACTCATTACAGAGATGTAGTGCCTCTTTCCTTCTCAACTGTTGTATTTAGATTGGTACAGTTTAATAGCCTTACTTATTAATGCTTTGGTTTTTACAAAAGGAGTAACTGGAATACAAAAGGTTTTTATTCTAGTGGGGATTTGCAAAAGGATGCTAACAAAAAATATCCCAAAATGATTTTTGTTATTTATAAGATAATCTCTTCCATCTATTTCTTTACAAAGAAACAAACAAAAATATGCATGTCTTGAGAAATTGGCTGCGTTTTCTGTCTAAGGTGCCCACAATTCAGTAGCTTGATTTCCATGAATGTTAGATATTCTTGGTATCTATGAAAGAAGTTTCAGAGACAATGTACTGAAATTAAGATTTTTTTTCTATAAATAAACTTTTTCAGGCACAGTTATCTACTCAAATATTTATGTACATTTTATTACAGATTATTCAATTCAAATGGCTGGGAAGTAAGATCTCAGATGATTATAGTCCTTCAAGAACTAATGAAGTTCTCCATCTACTTCCCATCTTCTTTAAGGAGATCTGTAGTAAAAGAGACCTCCTTAAACCAAGCTAAAACACACAAGGCATTATAAAATTTAGAGTTTCTCTGGTTTATATAAAATACAGGACAAATGCAGTGGTAATTTACTTCCTTTTTCAGATTGCATTTCCACAATGTCCTACTGGAGCATAAATTCAATGCTGAAATATTCTGACTAGTATCCAAAATTTAAGGCATTCGGGGCAGAGGAATTTTGTTTTTTTAAGTGTGGGACCTTCTATTTTTCTTATTAAGTTACAAAGTGCATTCTCCCTGCTTCCAGGAACTAGTTTTCTTACCCTAAAACCTCAGCAGACTTCTACACATGATGTTGCAATAGTGAATTACAATCTGTGATTTCTATTCATAGAAATCTGCTCCTGCTTGCCCTGCTTGTATGATAAAATTCCAGTAAGTCATAAAAGGGAAAAAATACTCAAATAAGAAAGTGACATAGAGATATTTTGATGGGAATCCACCTAAGAATAAAAATGTCTGTTTAATGCCTTTTTTTCTTTAAGAAAATTCCTGTCAGCCACCTAAAAGTCCAAACTTTGGCAGTCAGAGTTTTCACACTATACTCCAGCACTTGCAAAATTTAACATTTACATGTGGCAGAACAGTGGCACCATGTACTCTAGAACAGTCAAATCACCACAGTACAGTATGGAAATATTGCGACTGAGCTGCATCAGCAGCTTGTTTTCTAACCTGATTCTACACATCAGCATCTCCTAGTGAGGAGCCAGTACTTGGCACCAGTTGATGCCTTGTGAAGCTCTGCTCATTGCACGCCTGCATTACTGAACCTCAAAGCGCAGGAATGAGGAGGCAATGGAAGAAATACATGTGCTATGGCCCTTTTAAAGGCAAACCAAAACTCATTTCTAAAACTGCATCTGTACCTAAGTTATTGTGCGTTTGGGGC